ATTCATAACTGGAAGAACATGGTTTCATGCCCTTTTCAATGGAATCAGCGCAAAATGAACGAAGCAAAAATGTACCAGAATTGAACACCGCACACCGAATTCACATTCTGCGCTAAAAAAAATAAGTTCTCGTTAAAATGAAGGAAATAAAGTAAGAGAAAAATATTTTTCGAAAGGAAAAATAGGAAAATGAAATTAAAAAATTCTGTAAGTTTTCTTTTTGTTGTTTTTTCCTTTTTTCTTTTTCCTTCTCTTTTTTTTTCTATTCCCTTCTCTTTTTTTTCTATTTCCTTCTCTTTTTTTTTCTATTTCCTTCTCTTTTTTTTTTCTATTTCCTTCTCTTTTTTTTTCTATTTCCTTCTCTTTTTTTTTCTATTTCCTTCTCTTTTTTTTTCTATTTCCTTCTCTTTTTTTTTTTTTCTATTTCCTTCTCTTTTTTTTTTTTTTTCTATTTTTTTTTCTTTTTCCTTCTCTTTTTTTTTTTTCATTTCTCTTTTTTTTTTCTATTTCTTCTTTTTTTTTTCTATTCTAATTATTCCCTTTTCCTTTCCCTTTATTTCCTCTTTTTTTTCTTTTGTTGTTTTCCTTTTAGTTTTTCCCCCTCGCTTTTTCCCTGTAGGAACTAGAATCAAAAACAAGGGGGAAAAACTTTTTTTCCTACTATTTCTCCTCTCTTTTTTCCTTTAAAGTTTTGTGCCATTCTTCCCCTCACCCCGATTTTTCTTCATTTTCCTTGCATGTCAGATGGTTTGCCAAGTGTTTGAAACATATATATACACTCAAAAACTAAAATTGCAAACTCTAACGGGTGATCAATATTTTAATCTGATGAAAGTATATACGTGCTAAAGATTAGTAGATATTCTGCTAAAATTATAAATATTCCGCCATCTTGTCACAGGAAGACAATGTACTGTCCCAACAGGATAATTAATGCCTGTCCACATGATACCCGCGCGTGATATTCAACATACGCGGTAAGATAGTGAATAATTTCTCTAACCGGCACGATCATCAAATCTATTTTACATTAAATGTGTGTTTGAATTTTATTTCCCGTCTATATATATATATATATATTCCCAAGAGGATAGAATCCAGGTAGAACTCAATGTCCAGGACAGAGTAAGAATATAATATAAAAGGCTCAAAGTTATAATTTATTACATTGGAATCGTAATCACGATTCAATTCATCAGACCTACAAATTCAAAAAGAAATCGGAAAATATAACTCTGGGTATAAAAAAAAAACAAAAATTTTAGACTAAAAACAAAGTTTTGAATAAAATTTTTCATTCCATTTTCAAGCAATACTAGGAAAAACTTTCTAAGAATTTATTTAATTTATAAGCACAGACAATCTTACTATTTTTGAGTTGTTATGGTTAAGGAAAATTCAATCTATTTTAATTAGGGGTGTTTGGGTTTTAATTTATATATCAAATATATGTTACTTACAAAGTCAGGTTAAGTTTAGGTGGAGTGGGGATGCCTGCATGCAAACATCGACATCCATTATTCAGCGTGTCGTCTGGGTTTTCAATGACAAAAAAATTTGGCATTTTTATTTATCCGCTTAATTCATATTTTTATACACAAAGATTTTCTAAAATGGGTCATTTAAATAAGAGTAAGTCATATTTTTAATATTTAAATTTTATTACTACAGATTTAAAGTACCATTCGTTCGTCTAATAACTAATAGACTATACGGTATTTTTACAAATAAATATATTTTGTATGTAATTTCGTATTTTAAAAAAAATTAATGATAAAGTATAAATATGTATGCTTCATCTCTTTGTTATTCTTCTTTTTTTTTACCAAAATTATTATTTAAAGAAAATATTTGACAGTGCCTACAAAAACTAGCTATTTCATTTCTTTGATTTAGTAAATTTTTATTTTTCAGAAACTTAATAATTTTTCATGTATGCACAAAGGACATGGGTCATTTAATGACCTACATGCTCTAGCTTTTCTTATTCATTTCAGTTTTACTGTTGGTGTTTTACTGGTTTCTTTTAAGTGGCAGAAATATTTAGATAGGGACGTTTGATTTCTGCATTTATTATTAAGAGGTCAGTTTTGAGGATATCTACAGTTATTTAATTTTTTTATTTTCATTTCTTTTTATTTTAGGATACATATGTTTTTTGATTTTGGTATAAGTGTTTATTTAAGATATTAGCATTATGTTTCTTAATAGTAAGTTTTCAGTACAACTGTAACTTGATTTTAGGGTATTTTTATTAAAAATTGTACTGAGTTTATTATCTCTAGGAAAATGTTTATCGATTAATGCCCAAAATTATTTCTTACCATTTCTTTGTAGGGAGGTGTATACCAAAAGATTTTTCTATTTCGATTTTTTCTATGGTGTCCATTTTCATTTTTGATATAATTGAGTTATGGATATTCATAGCCACTATTCTTTAGAGCTTTATTATAGAAATATAATGGATGGTCGCTAAATGAGATATAAAATTAACATTTCTTTATAAATTTTTTAGCTGTATTATCCTCCTGTAAAACATTTTTGTTTTGATTTTAAATATATGATTTGTGGGCTTTTGGCTTGTACGTATTTTCTGGAATGAGACATTCCAGAAAATACGTACAAACGAAAAGACTTTCTTTGCATTTATATGCAAAGAAAGTCTTATATAAACGTTTTAGCATTTAGAGATTCTTGACAAAATCCAAAGAATCTGCAATGTTATTTGTCCTGACTTTGCATCTAGGCTTCATCTACTTTCCCGTAGCTTCTAGGTGTCTTTTCTATAACAAATTTCATGATAATTGTCCTGATGAGCTTTCATCTTTGTTACGTAGACTTTACGAATTTAATCACAGTACTAGATTGGCAAAACATACACGCGACTCTGGCCCTTTTAGGGGCGCCGAGGTAAGTCATCGCTACATTTCTCTCACTTAGTAGCCCTCTTACGTCTTAGGGGCTTTATTGCCTTTTACGAGAGGTGAAATGTTTTTTAAAATTAATGTTCCGAAAAAAAAAGAAAATTTGTGTAATGATTTGAGACAAACTCTATGGCTCAGTGCAACAGCATTGTCATATATATTGAAGGCCAAGACAAATTTACGCTTCTAATTAGTGTTTTTTGTTTTTGTTTTTTTGTTTTGTTTTTTGTTTTGTTGTTTTGTTTTGTTTTGTTGTTTTTTTTGTTTTTTTGGGGTTTTTTTTTGTTTTGTTGTTTTGTTTTGTTTTTTTGTTTTGTTTTTTTTTTTTTTTTTTGTTTTTTTGTTTGTTTTTTGTTTTCGTTTTGGGTTTTTTTGGTTTTTGTTTTTGAAACAGATCTGTTAGGAGCTTCAGATAGTCTCATAGCGCCTTAGATTGATATTTATATAATTGAAGCAAAACAATGAATGCAAGCAACTCAATAATACAATAACATTCTTGGTGAATTTGCCTCCGTTCGGATGTGAAATTTCACGTCCAGAAACTCAAATGGAAACGAAATTATAAATATTAACGACGAAATAAAAACTATTATAACTTGTGCAAAAAGCTGAATATGTTTTAATAGTTGTTCAATATCATAAAATAAGAATCATGCAATGAAATCACAGGTCATATTTCACAACAAATATCTAGCCTTGAGGTGAAAATCAGTGACGATATATTACCATATGATCTATTTTAAAAAAATCAATAAGTAATATTATCATTTGACTCTCAAACCATACAAAATCCAGTCCAATGATCTATTAAATATAACAGCCCAGAACAAGAATGGTTGACATCTGCATTTTTGTTTGTATCATCTTTGAATAAATATAACAACCATCTGTTACATAACACATTCTTTTCTTGAATTGTATTTGATAACACCATTAAATGTAAACATCCGGTATCAGCCGAAATTCTAACGTCCTTTTTAATCTTATAATCTTCACTTTCTACTTCTTCTTCCTCTTACGTTCATATCAAACATACCATTCAGTAATCCTCTACCTTGAAGGTCTCTTGGGTCTTGTATTGGGTGAACATTAATTTTTTTTAACTTAAATTTCGTTTCAGAAACAAATTTACATATGGTATATCAGAACCACCCATTTTCTTTAATGTATGTTCATAAATTTATAATAAACTAGCAGTAGAGCCCGGCGTTGCCCGGGGATATAACAGTAGGGAGATAGAGCAAGTATCGACCATCATAAAGAATGAAAAATAAAATTGACAAAGTTCAATTTAAGGTTGACGGACACGCATGTCTTAATTAGTTTCTATTTGTTTGTTTTTTTTTACGAATTGGTCAAACTCAAACAAAAACATTGTTTTCAATCATTATGAGTCTACCGATTGAATAGAATTTTTTTTTATAAACAATTGTCTTGTAAATGGAATATTTAAAACATTCTGAATTTAAAAATAAAGAAAAAAGTGTGCAAGACAATAAGAAACACTACCTGCTAAAAAAAAGTGAAGTTTTGTTGAAATTGGTTGAAAAATATAGGAAATCTAATCCCATATATACATGAACACACAGACACAAAAACAACCTGGCTTTTATAAGTATAAATCGATATGTTGTCCCCCTTTCATTCTCGCGATTAATCGTGTTTTCAAATTTATTTTGCGCAAAAACAATTGTTTTTCCAATTTTTGGCGCTGTTAGAACCACCGCAAGGTAATTTTACGTAGTCCTGTGAAGTTTTGTTCAAATCGGTTGAAAAATGTAGGAAATCCGATCCAATATATAAACGTACAGACACACACACACACACACACACACACACACACACAATCTGTGTTTTATAATAAGTAAGATGCACGAAAATAAATATATTTTGAACTTGACTAAATTAGAAAGATGGATGAAGTTCCAGTAGCATTTAATGTATTATTTAAGTATTTTTTTAAATGCACTGCTACGTTGGAATGCGATGTCATATGGCATCAAATATTCTAAGGATTGCAGACCTGGATGGAACAAAAAAGATGAATATGGAGCCTGTTTAAATCAGGCTACGGTCACATTGAAACGGCGGTTCCCATATGATCGCTGAAGTTAAGCAATGTCGAGCCTTACCAGTACCTAGATGGGTGAATGCTTGGGAATACCAGATGCTGTAAGCTTGGATGTGCGGGCGGTGTAATGAATAATGGTTCGGAGTCGTTTATCGGGGAGTTCACGAAAATGTGAAGTAAATAGTTGGTAAACTATTCTTATAATTCGCGATCACAAAGACAGATTTTATTAAATTTATTTTTACCTGTTTAGTAAATAAATTTTACGAATCATCTTTAATCGAGCGAGTGTTTGTGTGTGTGTCATACAGCTTGACCTTGCTTGTTTTTCCATTCTGCTCTATCCACAGTTACTCTAATGGTTTCTGTGTGTTTTACGTAAGCCATTCTTGGGCATCCTTCCTGTTTTTTGCCTTGTTCTGGTTGATAAAGAGCGGAAATTGATACATAGCTGTTGGTTGACCTTAACCAGTGACCTATGACTCATAGATGTGGCGCGGAAATTTTGTGATTTTTTTTCTTTTTCTTTTTACCTAAAATTTGTTTTCGTATTGAAAATCAAGAGATTGTCACTAGTCAAAAATTAAACAAAGCATTAACAGTTACCGGTTATTATATGTATAATGTATATGTATCTTTGTAAAGTGTTACTAGTATAGCGAGTAATAATAACTCCTTTCACCCACTTCCTTCCTTCAAATTTGCTGGACTGAGGAAGAAGGAAAAAATTCGCGAGCCTATGTGAAATTGTTTTTGGACCCATGAAAACCTTGCCTTCACAGAAATTAGCCAATCAGCCAAGAAGAGGGAAATAAGGTAGCGAGACTTTATATAAAATTAGGATAAAAACTAAAGAAAAGAGTGTCTGAAGTCATTTGAAAGGTTCGTTTCAGCTCCTCGCGACCAGCGTTGAAGTACTTGCCATTGTAAAATTACTCGCCAATTATATTATTAGCCTCTAAACAGCATACAGCACTTCAAAGAATTTTCTCTTCACAATCCAAGAATGATAAGTATTTCGATCCCTCTCTCTCTCTCTCCCCTTTTGAACGTATCCAAACCATATATCCCTTCGGTGAGCAATGAACTCTCTTACATTTGTCTTGAATATTTTTTAATATTATTTTGTGTCAGATCATTTAATCTGTTGTATGAACATTTCCTTTTCGTGATAATACGTTAAAACTACGGACTTTAAGAATTCTGATTTATTTTCCTGAAACGAGCTACTGAACACTACTTCAAGCGTGTAAATTCGGGAATAAATTCCTTATCTTGTTTTTGTTAAAAAAATTCCCGTGTGTTTCCTCGTTATTATCAACCTTCATTTATCTTCTTGGCGTGATGAATCAACTGTTCATTCTAACCCCTAAGCCGAACACCAGTGTACTAGCTATTATATGAAAATAGTGTAAATGATGTTAGTATTGATTTCCTTTTTGAAAATCAAGGAGGGACTTTCAATGAATTAAGGCAACCGTTACTGACAGAATAGGGATATTATAAATATATTGGAACTGATAATGCATTTTACCACGGAAATGTAAATAAGTTTACAATAGAAATAAGAAAAAAAAAACTCGTTAAAGGATTGTAAGTGAATTAAAGCCAGCGTTACTTATAGAATAAGTGTTTTTTTTCTCTCTTATGTACGTGCATTGCAAATAATTTTACTCTTGAGAAGCATTGCAAATAATGTTTTCTAAGGAATCAATGATCTTATTTCCTACTACTTCAAGCGTTATTTTGTGGATAATTATATTTGGGTAGACGCCCTGTTTTACGTCTACCGGCCTGCGCACGATAAGTCTCTCGAATAAAGTAAATGTGCTCTCCGGCAGGGTTCCAATATGCGTCTTGTTTTGTAGGAGAAACCACCATTCGGGTAGAACAGTCAATAGCACGCCGTATCAAACGGTAATTTCTGATAAAAAGGGAGATACAGGTTCGAACCCTGCTGGAGAATACATTTTCTTTATTATGTTTTTTGAATGCACATGATGGTAAACGTAATTTACACCGTTTCTAAAAACAGGTCGTCTACTCAATATGGGTATCCAGAAAATAACACTAGTAGGAAATGATGTCGCTATAAAAATGCATTGGAAAGTATGATGAAGACAATTGTTAGTGAATGCATGTATAACAAGTTGTGTGAAAAAGTAAACTTATGAGAGTTTCTGCGTTTCATTGTTTAATATTATTAGTAGCATTATTTTTGTTTGAATTTCTGAGAAGAGCAGTTGTTTCTTTAATTTATTGTCGTCGATTCAGATTTTTTTTTGGGGGGGGGTAATTTCTCTTGTCATTATCACACTGCTGTAGTCTCCGACCTTTAAATGTCTGTCACATTCGAGAAACTTTCGGAAATGTCGTGTGAAATTCTTGGGGCATGCCGTTCTCATAGCTGTTCTTGTCACAGCTTTTGTCCTTCTTTGGAAATTAACCATTAATTCTTCTTTATAATGTCAATCTGCCCTCTCCTGAGCTTGTGAATCCCAAACTGTATGACTTGACTAAAGAAATAAACTTACGACATAGATTTGCCTAGCATTTTTATTCATTTGGCCATATCCTACTGTTGTGGATCTTGGAAGGCTGCGTGAAAATTTAAAGTTATGCTGCAAATAAAACATGCATTATCCCCGAACATAAATGATAAAAAATGGCCAAATGGTAACGATATTCAATTACGACAAAAAGGATAGCTTTGATGCAACATATTTATTTTTTATATGCAAAATATTACAATTTTGTTTTGTAATGATGAGCGCGAAAGTATATTTCAGAGAAAAAGCTTTTTACTACTTCAGAAATGTTCAATGCCAAAAGTAAAAGTTGTCTGCCTTTTACTATAAAGGTTAAATTCAGATTAGACAATAGTTTTTTTTTCTATGAAAGATATTGAGTGGAAAATTTTGTAGTGTAAATTTTCCTAATCTCTCATAAAGAAAGTTGTTTCTTTGGCATTTCTCCGAGTTGTAATTCCCGTATGTTTCCCTTGCTCGTGTGAATTTCAAATACTGAATAAACTTGTAGCTTGATCAGAGTATTTTAAAGAGAAAAGTTCTTGTTGCCGGTTTGAAAATGTTTCGTATGTTTGGAAAGTAGTTTGGAAAATTTCGTACGTTCGTGCATGCGTAAATGTATTTTTATAAGCATCTGACCGCAAGACGCGAATCCTTTAAGGTTACATTTTCGTAGAAAAGGCGGTCAAACATGACTTGGTTAGGCACTGGAGAAAAAGATTTGTACGTGGGTGGACTGCAATATTGAATTTTGTACAAATCTGTGCAAAAAGTGGATCAAAGTGCTTACTCAGCTTCATAAAGATTTTCAGGAAATCTCAACTTCTAATTGGTCAATAAACACACAAGTGGGCGTTGCAATCCCCCCACGTACAAGTCTTTTTCCAGGAGCCTACCACGTGATTAAATTCATTATAAATACCAGACACGAGTTCTCTCTCTCTCTCTCTCTCTCTCTCTCTCTCTCTCATTCGCCTACGAACATGTAACCTTAAAGGAAACTACTTTGCGACCCCATTGCGGTCGAACGCTGCAAAACATATTCACACATGGACGTACGTACGAAAATTTCCAGACTACACTACAAGCATACGAAACATTTCCAAACCAGCAACAAGAACTTTTCTCTTTAAAATACTCTGATCAAGCTTTCGTACACATCTTTACAAAACAAAATTGTAATATTCAGCATATAAAAAATATATTTGTTGTTCCAAACCTATCCTTTTTGTCGTAATTGAAAATCGTTATCATTTGATTTTTTTTTAATTAATTTATAATTTATGTTTGTGGATGTTGCATGTATCATTTACAGCGAAATATTAAAATATTCACGCAGCCTTCTTAGATCAACTACATACGCTTACCAGACTGCTTGTCACCATAGGTGTATAGGAATTTGTATATTTGTACCCCAGCATCACTTTGGTGGAGTACTACTTTCTCGATCAGTAATATACTAGAGTGATAGCTTTGAAGTATTTAGGTAATAAGCTTTGTTTAAAAGGTTCTGTAAAAGTAGTAAATGCTTTTGATATACACTAATAATTATCATATAAATATGGTATTTAATTATGATGTAAAATACCTTAAATAGCAAAGTATTTGTTGTATAAGACATTAACAATATTTTTTCTTCAAATAACATTTTATATTTTTACGCAAGCTATAATTATGGTTTTTGCCAAGGTTAGATTGCTTCAACAAGTATCTATGCTCCATGAATATTATTATTATTATTAATAATGATCTTATTTCGAAATTGCATGAATGGCTGTAATAATTCTAGTAAAATTACGTCAATAAAATAAATAGTCAAATCGTTTATCGACAAGAGTATTTTTTAATAAGATCAGTTTTTCGTAATCAAAAGAAGGCTACGAATTAGAAAAGCAAAACTAAATTCTGGATATCTTAGAAATCAAGGGGACGATTGCAGATTGTTTTTAATCAAAAGAGAAGAAAGAAATGTATGATTTAAGTAATTAAGTTATGGAGTGAACAATGGTGTCGTGCTTGCTGATTGAAGCAGGTGTTGAGAAAGAGAACGAAAAATCAAGATCAGTAAAAGAAGGTAAGATGAAAAGCTAAGAATAAAAGAGTAACAGAAATATGCATTTTTCTTTTAAGAGAGAGAAAAAAACGAAATGAAAACGAGGCAAATAAAGCAAAACAAAAATGAAGGAACGACAAAATTGGAAAAACCAGGATGACATTTAATGGCAAAGAAAGAGAAGTTAAACCAGTCTGAGAAAGAAAAGCGGTGAAATGATGGAGAGAGAGAGAAACACGTAAAGTGGGTAGAGGAAGATGTTGATAAGATGATTGGATTGCAAATTAATTTGTATTTCTCAGAGAGCAATCTTATTAATCTTAACAGATGAAAATTCATGAATTTGTATTTGAAATCGTTTCTTGGTCGATCGTAAGCCTTCTTTGATTTAAAAGTAAAATCTTAAGAGGAAGGAAGATAGCAGTCTTTTTATCATTTTATAAAGTTTTATTTATTTACCAGCATAGTACCCGTAAATAATTAAGTAATTATTTACATATGGAAGACAGTACTTTTGTCTATAAG